TTTTATTTTTAAGTCTGATCCCACACGAGCATTAGCATTAGCATTAGCATCTGTAACCCACAGGTCTGTGTCCTAACCATTAAGTTGTTATCAGAGTAAATCCCTGTTCAACATGAGTCTGACAGCTAAGTAAGTAGATAAATAACTTTAAAACTTTAATACATGCTCTGATAGGATAGGATCGGATCATCCCTTAGTTGAGATTGATAGCAATATGAAAAAAAACATCAAATAATGGCAGCTTTTCCCTCGAGTGTGACATTTGAGCTTTTGATTGTGGTTTGATTGTGAGGCTCTGATCTCCCCCGACGGCTTTAATGTGTTTGGGTCGGACACGTGACCAGACAAACATGGAGCTGATGTGTGTAATGGGATGAAACGCATGCCGGAATGCTCTGAAAACATCACTCAGATTTCAGGAGGAAAAAAACAAAACGCCCCCCAATGCAGAAGACTTAACCCAGAGACACAATCCTCTGTAATGGGGGCTGTTTCTATCCAATCCTGCCTTTTACGAGGAGCATTTGAAAGCATCTTGAAGCCTTTTCGGAGCTTGTTTGTGTCAGGAGGGATGTAAAACCCCCCCTGGCTTCTGCCGCCTGCTTTTCTGAGACCTTTTGACCCCTTTGAACTTCAACTTGAGCCTCAAACGGCCCCTCCTTCCTGTCATTTCTCCGTTTGACCTGCAGAGGGAGACACATTACAGGGAAAAAGAGGTTTCCCACCCAGCTCAAACCTCAGTTTTGGAGCATTTTGGCCCCGAAATCTTGTTTTCGATGGCGTTAGATCAGTAGCTTTGATTTATTCTGTTAATATTTCATATTTTCAGACAATTTCACAAGTTTTATTTCAGTAGTTTTTCGCATTTGTACGATTTAAGAAGGCATTTTAATGCATATTTAGCATAAAAGTCATCTTTCTGCTGAAATAAGCGTTCAGTGCTGAGCTTAAAGTGTTTAGAGGTACCGAAAACGCACAAAACGAGTAAACCCGACGTCCTCAAGGGGCTCCTGGCTGTTTTTCTGTGTTGTACTGTGTTGAGCAAAGCTTTTACCACTGAATGATGCAAAAAGTCTCAGATCCAAAAGACTTCAGAAACCATATCAATAGATTAATTAATAGATTTATTAGTTTTTGTTCATTCGAATCACCAGATTTACAGATCGGCTGCAGCTGGACGACTCGATTCGATTCGATCTGTGAGCGATTGGCTTGGATGTGAGGAATTATTGTGTTCGGGGCTTTTGGGAGTCCAAACATGTGTCTGTAAGTTTCTCTCCCCCTGGAAACGCCGGGCCCTTAATGGGCTCGTTCCCTTCCCTTCCTCTCTCCCAAATTGATACAACCACAGCCTCTTAACCGGTTTTAGCAGGCGCTATTAGCCCGAATCACAGAAAGTGAAGCAAAAACATCTCTGGTAGGACTCGTCTGGCGTTAGCTCTGACCTGCCTGATTGAGTTTGCTCACAATCACACGGGTCAGGGCCGGGGTCAGGGCCCATGCATCATTTAGTTTAATGGCCGTTTCCTGCCCGCGCCTCAGTGGAGGAAACAGGGGGACGAGGCCGTATTGCTTACAGCTCGAGAGGGAGGGAAGGAAGGAGGAAAGATGAGAGGAAAGGAGCCACACAAAGGGAGAAAGGGAGGAAAAATCAAGAAAGGAGAGAGATGCTGACAAAGAGCTGCTGTAGTGTTGGTCACCCTGCAGGGAGCACAGATGTGAGGGTGATGTCATCAGAAAGGGGATAGGGCGGGGGGGCGGAGCCAGCC